TACGGGTATTTGGGTACCCGGAATCCTCAAAAAACGGGACGAATATGAGTATACCCAAATACCCGTTTTTCGTTGCCCACCCCTACTACCAGCCTTTTTATTCTTACCTCCCTTAACATGCTTTACAGCTCAAAAAGACATTGTAGATATCCAACACTAAACTAGCCTCACTCACTCAGATATAAGTATAACATGTTGTACGTAATAAGCAGATAAAGCAGTGTCGTTCCTTGCAAAGGTGTGTCTTGTACATAACGAAATGCAACGTCTTGTGATCAAGACAGTGGGCACTTCTCAGACAAAGGGGAAAATTGTTGTACGTAACAAGCGGATAAAGCGGTGTCGTTCCTTGCAAACTTGTGTCTTGTACATAACGAAACATAGCGTCTTGTGATCAAGACAGTGGGTACGGCGTCGTTCCTGGCAAACGAAAACGCATTGGGTTTTCGTCCTTCAAAGTCGTCACTGCCTCTGTTCACAGGCTCCTCGTGCAACACTCTTCTTCCTTGTTCTCTCTTAAGACATCACGAAAACCTCCTCGAGCCTGCTTCACAATTGTCATCACCTCTACTAGTTCTCATAATAATCGAAGCTATGACCTCCTCCATTAGCAAACAATCATCTTCTTTCTTTCCCCTATAAATTATGTACACTTGCCTCTGTTTAGAACTTGGAAGTTAGTAGTGAGGGAAATAGTTGAGAATTTCTTCTACTTTGGGTCCTTTTGATAAGCTACTTTGGCTGCTTAATTCACAGTGTATGAGTGTGTGTACTGGGTGAATTAATGTTTGCGAAGTAGGAGTGTTGTTTGTATTAGTTTAAAGAGCCAAGTCGATGGCTTGGCTAGGTTTTCTTTGTTCATAGTGTCTATCTATTTCACCATCAATAAAATATTTTTCTTAATTTTCCTAAAAGTACAACCCAGAGAGTTTGAATTAGAGTTAAGTTTGAGCTCTTCCTCCCATTCTGATTCAACAATTGGTATCAGAGTAGGCTCTTTAAAGGATTAACGATCGCCAAAGAGGAACTCTAGGGACGACAGGATCCTCATCAGCCTCAGCCTCATACTCTGCAAGCACAAATCCACCATGGGTCGATGGAAAAGACTACATTGTCAGGAAGAAGAGGATGAGGATTTACCTTCGAGTGTCGATGGAGATCTACGGGCAATAGTCCGCAAAGGACCTATTCCTATGGATGATGAAAATGAAGAAAAATGGGAAGACGAGCAGAAGTTATCATCTCATCTGGATTCAAGGGCAATGCACATCCTATTCTCAGCTCTTTGCCCAGAAGAAAGGAGTCAAGTGGCTCAATGCGAAACTGCTTAAGAGATCTGGGAGTCTCTTCAGACTACCCATGAAGGTACGCCAGATGTAAAAGAAAGCACAATAGATGTCCTTCTAAATCAGTATGAATCGTTTGAAATGTGTTTTGGAGAGTCAATTTCTAGCATGTACAAAAGGTTTAATGATGTGATCAATATATTAAAAGGCATAGGTAAAACATTTGCTACTAAGGATCTTGTTAGAAAAATTTTATGAAGTCTACCTCAAGAATCGTTGCCTAAAAGAACTGCTACAGTGGAAGCAAAGGATTTGAATGTTTTAGCTATCGAAAGACGGGTTGGATCTTTGCTAAGTGACGAAGAAGTGATTGTCCAAATGAACAAGGAAGATAATAAACGAAAGAAAGTCATTGCTTTCAAAGCAAAAGAGTATGATAGTGAGTCTGAATATGACATGGGTGAAGAATTTGAAAAAGAATTTGCACTAGTAAGTAGAAAATTTCACCGAATGTTGAAAATGAAATGGGGTTTCCAGGATAGAAGAGCTTACATCAATTCAAAACAATTTAATAGTCGCTCTTATGAACATAGAAGAGACAGGGAAGGAATTGAGAGGTTTCCTACTCGACAATTTGATAGGAATACTCCAAATAGACTCTACACAGAGAAAAGCCCTTATAGGATGGTAGACAAACCAACTGAAGGACGAGAAAGGTTTAAACAAGAAATTAAGGAAGACCAGAGGTCTTCTAGTGAAAAAGATCTGACAATCTGCTTGAAGTGTGGAAAAACAGGACACATGAGGTCTAAGTGCCCCCTGAACTCCAAATCTCAAGAAAAGGCCTTGGTTGCATCCTGGAGTGACTATAGCTCAGAAGATGATATGGAAACAAAGAATCTGGCCTATATGGCATTTGCATCTAAAGGTGAAAGTGACACCTCCTCCTTGGTTAGTAATGATCAAGTTCTTCCATCAAGTTATCAGGTGATCTCTGACTCAAACTCTGAAACCTGTGCTCGTTTTGAAACCGCATCCAATTTCTTGCATGTTTTAAAGAACCTTCAAGAAAAATGTAACAGACTTAAAAGCAAATATTGCATACTCATGACTGACAATCATGCGATGATGAAAGAAATGAATGTTCATAAGAGATTTGTAGCTGCTCAGAACGAATGCCAGGACAAACTGCACAAACAGATTCTTTATTTAATAAATGAAAATCAATAGTTAAAACAAATCTGTCATGATAAACACTTGAAGATAGGAAATGTTTTTGATGAATCAAACATGCCTTTGCAAAACAAATGTACTCAAAAGAAAAACCTTATTAGCTTCACAAACTATCAAAGGAGATACCATGATAAAAGGGTTAAAAATTATCCTGTAGCGTTCATCTGTTCTTATTGGAAAAGACAAGGTTATTTAGCAAAACTTTGCTATGATTTGCAAAACTTGAAGAAACCAACTACTCATAAGACATTTTGGGTACCAAAATGTACTAGCCTTTGACTGGTTGCAGAATCTGGGAGAAAATTGAAACATTTGGTATCTGGACAGTGGATGCTCCAACCACATGACAGGTAGAAAGGAACCTTTTTCATCTTTAATGTACAAGAAGGGAGGTAAGGTAGTATTTGGTGATGACACAGTTGGAATTATCTTAGGAAATTGCATGATTGGTAAAAGTCCATTTCCAATAATTAAAGATGTGTTGTTTGTTCAAGGCTTGAATCATAACTTGCTTTCTATTAGCCAGCTCTGTAACTTTGAAAACAGAGTTATATTTGAAGCCTCTTCATGTAAGATTTTTAGAATACGTGACAATAAGTTACTTTTCAGTTGGATCATGAAAAATAACATGTATGTTGTAAATCAACAGATAAAGACATCCTTGCAGAAGAAAGGAATGCTCCTGCACACATTCAAAAAAGGCATCCTGCATCTCAAATCATTGGCAAACTGAACGATGGAATACACACTCGAGGTAAGTACTGTCCAGGTCAGTATGCATTTGTTTCCCTACTAGAACCAAAAAATTACAAGGAAGCACTGACTGATGATGAATGGTTGTGTGCTATGCAAGAAGAACTTGTGCAATTTGCTAGATTACATGCTTGGGAATTAGTACCTAGACCAATTGACAGAATGATAATGGGAAAAAATGGGTTGTTAGAAATAAAACTAATAAAGTAAGTAAAAATAAGGCTAGACTCGTAGCTCAAGGATATTTACAAGAAGAAGGAATAGATTTTGATGAAACCTTTGCTCCAGTTGCTCGAATTGAATCCATCAAACTTTTGTGTGCTTATGCATGTTACATGAAAATTCCTTTATTTCATGTAAAATTACATAAAAACCTTTGAATTTATGATGGATTTGTTGCATTATGGATTTGGAAGAGTACATTGTTTGTTTAGTTAATTTTTCATGGATTTATGATAGATTTGTCTCACGGGTGTTAACGGGTAACCCGCGGGTACTCATTGTATAAGTTCTTCATACCAAATCCCATCCCATAAAAAAAAATTACGGGTATTTGGGTACCCGCAATCCTCAAAAAACGGGTCGAATATGAGTATACCCAAATACCCATTTTTCGTTGCCCACCCCTACTACCAGCCTTTTTATTCTTACCTCCCTTAACATGCTTTACAGCTCAAAAAGACATTGTAGGTATCCAACACTAAACTAGCCTCACTCACTCAGATATAAGTATAACATGTTGTAAGTAACAAGCAGATAAAGCGGTGTCGTTCCTTGCAAACGTGTGTCTTGTACATAACGAAATGCAGCTTCTTGTGATCAAGACAGTGGGTACGACGTCGTTCCTCGCAAACGACAACACATTGGGTTTTCGTCCTTCAAATTCGTCACTGCCTCTGTTCACAGGCTACTCGTGCAGCGCTCTTCTTCCTTGTTCTCTCTCAAGACATCGCGATAGCCTCCTCGAGCCTGCTTCACAATCGTCACCGCCTCTACTGGTTCTCATAATAATCGAAGCTATGACCTCCTCCATTAGCAAAGGTCATCTTCTTTCTTTCCCCTATAAATTATGCACACTTGCCTCTGTTTAGAACTTGGCAGTTAGTAGTGAGGGAAATAGTTGAGAATCTCTTCTACTTTGGGTCCTTTTGATAAGCTACTTCGGCTGCTTAATTCACAGTGTATGAGTGTGTGTACTGAGTGAATTAATGTTTGGGAAGTAGGAGTGTTGTTTGTATTAGTTTAAAGAGCCAAGTCGATTGGCTTGGCTAGGGTTTCTTTGTTCACTGTGTGTATATCTATTTTACCATCAGTAAAATGTTTTTATTTTCATAAAAGTACAACCCAAAGAGTTTGAATGTGAGTTAAGTTTGAGCTCTTCCTCCCATTTTGGTTCAACACAACATTCGTCATCATTGTTAGAATCTAACCGATTTTTCTTTAGCCAATATGACAGCTGCTGAGGCTCCCCGGGATGATTTCTTGAAACTCCTCCGCAGCTGGAAGCTGCTCGTACTCATCCACATTTACCCTACTCTGGACAGAAACCTCCTCCACATCCTCTACCTGATAAGATAATAACACATCCTCTACCTACTGTTCTTAATTGATCCATACAAAATGGTTTTCCAATCTTGCTCACACTTTTGCTTAAACAATCAGACATCAAACACTTTATGACCAAAAAAGAGGCATCAAACACTTCATAAGGTTATACAGAAGAAATAACTAAAGAGAGACGGGCTGGTTCAACAGGGAGTCCACAACTTGAACCAGTTTGGCACTGGCATGGTACAAATCCTCCTTGGTGTAAAGCAAGTAGTGCACTTGGATCAATTTCCAGAATGTCTCCCTTATCTCCTTGGGAATCTCACTCTTTTCGTCCAGACCCAGTTCCAGTACTTGTCGTGTAAGATCCTCTACGAAGCCATGGGCCTCTTCAATGGCCGCTTGCTGATAATGGAATATTGTTTCATCACCACCTTCTCCGACTCCCTTGCTGACCATCATCTCATTCATTCTCACTATCACTGCATTGAATTTCCCTTCTTTCGCTTCTCTCTGTAAAAAATAGAAGAAGAATAAATTTCCTTTGATTTAGTTTGATGAGAAACTATTATTAAGGCCGACTAATTCTTGACATTGTATTACTACGACGTCGGTACCTCGAATCCCCTGCAGTCGTTGAACAAACGGCCGCAAGCGCTAGTGGCTGCCAAAAGCGACTGGAAATTTGGACTGTGAACCAGGTCTTGTGAAAGCTTATGGCCAGCCAAGAAGAGAGGAGGGAGTAGGAAGGCTCCCACGCCAAGTGTGATAGAGGCGTTGCTCATGTACTCATCAAGTGTAGGGAGTAATGTGTTTGTTCTCGCCCACTCTGCTTCTTTATGCATTCCTCTCAGCATTGCCACCCACTATATACGTACCAATTAATACACAAAAAAAATCAGAGAGGTGAATCCATATCAATGAAATGAATTAAAAGCACGTGTTTCCATACACCGTTCTTTACGAAATTTTCTCTGCATATTTAGGGGTTGTTTGGAGGTTGGGTTTCTCCAAATTGGAGTATTTAATCAATATGTGTATTGTAATTTTGATGTATTGATTAAATGTATGAATTTGAAAAATACGTTGTTTGGAGGTTTACATTGTGCTTTGTTATAAATGAAAAAAATAGAGGGTAGACAAGGCATTGGTCACAATCTCACCTTTTGGTAGAGATTGATAATCACTCATTTTGAGTGATTGTGAGTGGGCACAGAACAAGGTAATACATGTATTATGACACAAATTTAACCAAAAAAATGACTAAATCTTGATATTACATGCATTGGCTAAATACATCGCTTGAAATCCCAACCTCCAAACGACCCATTAGATAAACATATTACGTAACACTTTCATAATACAAGTTTTGAACAAGAAGTCATTTATTATTAAATAACCTATGGATAAATTTGATCAATTTGCATAAATTGCATTACACAAAAGTTATGCAAGTTCTTTATGTATTTGTTTTTTATAGTATGAAAATCATGTTAATATAAGTTTTAACAAAAATTCGTTTATTATTAACTAAATTGTTGACCATCGCATCAATTTGTATTGTATAGAGATTCTGTGAGATAAATTTTTTTAGCAATAATATTTTAAACAAATCTGACAATTTTTATATTTTTAGTTAATTTATTATAATTTGAAATTAATTAACTATTATTATCTAAAATATTCACTATGTCATTTATTGCATTACACAAAGGTTCCATATTGTGAGTTAACCTTTAGTTACATACCAAGTTAATCAAATGTGATACTTTTCGTAACTTGATTTTATTATTATAGCATACATTATTATATATTTATCTAACAACATTTATATGCAGTGCGTAAAATTTGTGAAGGAGCATATATATTTTATGTATTAATTAAAAAAAAAGTAATACGTATGTCTTTCGAAATGGCAGAGACACCTTTTCAGCATCCTATTTACCCAAAAAAAATTCAAAATGATTTCGACACTAAGTAAAGCTAATGAATGAATAATTATTTCTTATGTTTCAATAAACATTCGTATGATGTAAGTCTTTCATAATCTTCTAGACACTGAAAGTTTTCTGAAAGTATCTAACCCATACAATTTTGTGAATTATTTGATTACAACTAAATTATTAAAATAACATGGTTGAAATTTTAAATATAATTAGCTTCCTTCCACCGCAAAGCGCCGGCCAAAACGCTAGTTTTATATATATAGTAAAGGCTGGTATACTCCAGGAGTATAGTATACTCTAGGTGATGTGATCGTTATATGCACTTCAATGAGATCCAAACAATTTGAACGATCAATTATTCTTTACTATTAAATTAAACTTCTGGTTTCAGTTTAGAGAATCAAGATATAAGGTTTATCCATTATAGGTTAGGGTATAGTATCATAGCCTAAATTTAATTTATTTATGGTCTAGATAGAGATATCACACTAAGAGTCAAGAAAATATAGAGTAAATTTGTTTATGTGATTTTCGATTGAATACAAAATCTCTATATTATTATAGATAATTTTAAATTTTGTAAGTCGGTTTAACATAAACAAAAACTTGAAACTCTGGAGTGCTGCTATTGGTTACCATTGCAAGTGTTGAAAGAGCACTTGATGCAATAAGCAAAGTAAAGAAATACTTCAAAATAAGATGAGTTGTTAAATCATGAACGATTTTTCGCTATGATATCTTAACATGGCTCATAATTTGCATGATGAATACAACTAAAAAAAATTTCAGAACACGAATACATCCTGAAACTTACTGTTGTATATATATTTTATTTCCAATTTTGACCTACCTTAGATAAATTGCTGGTTGATTTGACCCATACATTTAAATTCTTCATGGTGCAATTAATATATAAAAAAGTTTACTAACCTGCATAGTTAGTAAAATACGGTACGGGAAAGTTCCGTATAAAATACGTACAAGTATTTTACTTTATCTCTAAGTGAATGTTACGTTTAATAGTACGTTAATAGGTTGAAATATATAAAAATAATTATTTTAAAAATAAATAAATATTTATATATAAAAATAATTGTAAAGTAACAATTTAATTCATTAAATAATGATATTAAACGTGTTATACGGATTTTATACGTGTATATTACGTGAGCCATCAAATAAACGGAGAAAAATGAAATGGCTTGATAATAATACGGATACGGAAGTTTTAAACGGATAAAATACCTACGGGTACATATACGTGTATTAAACGGAGTATTTACTAACTAAGCGGTAGAGCTAATAATTTTGTACAAATAGCTAAGATTTTTTTTTGTCACAAATGCTAAGAATTATAGATTTACCAATTCAACCACGTGATCCATAACGTTACGGCCCTGGATGGCGAGTGCTTTCTCCGCATTCTCAACAATGGTGCTATGAAGTGCCCAGTATAATGTTTCAACTTGCTGTGATGCAAACTTCACTTTTGGTCCATTGGGATCCCACCTGTAGACGAAGTAACTTGTATGATTAATTAGAACTAAACTCTATAGTATATTCACGCATTCACATTACAACTATTATATACACTTAGATGAATACGGACCTCCGTTATTGCTTTTTTATTTTATTAAACTGACTCAATTTTGTTAAGAGAATTAGGAACCGTGATTTACTCATTTGAGTTTAAGTTTAGAGTATAGCATCATGTTATGAATTCTGATTAATTTATGATCTAAATAACAGGATGATATATTAACCGCAGTTTGGAGTATGGTAATACACCATAATGTGCTCTTGGTGTACTCCAAGCGAGATGGTGTTATCTGGACGATAAATTATTCTGAGTTTGGCGCCTATGATACTGCACCCTAATCTGACCTCTAATAAGTGAACCGTAGCCTCGGACTATGTAAACACCTAATATATACCAATTTAATTATAAATAATAACCGATGGTTCAAATTTGTTGGGGTCCATTTATTGAAGTAGATCCAACGAGAGTACCTCTGAAAGAGATGGAGAAAGTTGAGATGCTCCTCGGGAGTTCCATACATGTCGTATAAGTCATCCACAAGATAGACCAGCACGGCGTGTTTTGTGAACAGCATGCGGGCATCCACGAGTTGAGGATCGGAGAAAGTTGCTGCGGCGCTGAAGTAACAATACTTGGTCCTCACCTTCGCCAACCTCAGCTCAGCCAACCCTTTCTCTTCAAGCCACCTTGCATCCATTCCATGGGTACATACACAATAAATACATACACATATCAACGTGCGAACTCACATGCGCATGCACACACTTACAGCATTAGATGGTGTAGTTCGCGCTGGTACGACGACTGAAGGTTGGTGAAATCTTCTAGAGCTAGGTTCTGCAAGTCTTCCAACTCACACCCAGAGTTGGAGTAACTAAATCACAACACAATGGTATTTTTATTAGTAAGAAAGATAACAGTGATGAAACATGCAACAAAACTGTGAAACTTTTCGATTCAGACCTAATAGCGGATTTGAGAACCCTCGTCGTGTTGTCCGTACAGAAGTGCTCAATGTTCCTTTTGTGAGCTGAGTGGTCCAAATCAACCCGGAATGGACAGTTCAGCGCATTATGCACCTACAACAAATTGGTCTCAATAACTCGAGTTGTTGACAGAAGTTTAATAATAATAAATTTATACCACATACTAACACGCACCTGTGTAAGGATGGATTTGCGGGGACGACGATGACAAGTTCCATGATCAGATTCGTCGTCATAACCTGCTGCTGCAGTTGTTGATCCTTCTTGTTTGAGTACTAAGTCAGAAAGGAACCACCGTGTCCATTTTTGCTGGTGATCGAGAATGGACTCCCCCGTGTAAATGACTTGGGAGGCTTTGTGCAACTCCAGCACTGCCTTGTCGTCTCTCAAATACCCTTCCATCGTCTCATTCCAGAACAAATCTTCTCTGAATGATTCGAACACATCTGCAACAGAATTAAATTAATAATATGTATATTTGATTTGTCATATGTATGTACGTGGTCTGCATGGATATTGCATGGTGCCGACCTGCAGAAACATGGTATCCATTGAGTCGCAGTATTCGGAACGCCATGGCACAAGTTGTTGGGTCAAGTAATATCTCTTCGTCTTCCCCCTGCCAGCATGTGTGGATCTCGTCCAACGCGCTCTTGATTTCTTCTTCGAAATGACGACAAACTCCCAGGCTCTCAATTGCGTCGATCAGGCTGAGTCGAGCATGGATTCCGGGTGGGTAAATGGCTGCAAATTAACCGGAACAGCATCGGCATTTGATATTAGGTCAAAACTCTAAGTTGGGATCACATATAAGCTTCTACGGTACTCTGGGTGGAATTCGGTGTACCGCATACTTTGCGTATGAAAACATTATCCAGATTTCGAATTAGTAAGATTTCTGGATCCAATACTATACCCTACGCCTTAATGAGTGAACTCTATGACCTAATTATCTAAATCATAAACTATAAATTCTAAGATGATAGCATTCATTTTTTGTCTATATTTGGACGAATCATATAACCGTCGATTATTCTTTCTAATTAAATTCATCTTTGATATAAATCTTTAGAGAAGGCAAGATCTAGATTTTGATCTTTATAATATAGAGTATAATATATACGAACAAGGGATTGGTCTAGTGGTAATACCACTAGCCATGAACCTGGAGGTCCCAGGTTCGAGTCCCTTCAGTAGTACCTAATAACAAAAAGATAACCTATATCACCCTTATCTAAAAAAATATAGAGTATAATATAATATCCGAAAGGTCAATACATTCAAGGTCTGAATAGCATTTTCATATTCAAAATATGTGATATCTCGAATTTCACTCTAGATAACGTAGAACTCACTATATCACTACATGCATATATATGTACGTACCTGCCGTGGTATCCTTAGGGTTGTCGCCGACCAGTGATCGGAGATGGCCAAGGCAATCACAGTCCTGAAACCGAATGAAGCCTGCGGCGGTGGCAGACGGAGAGTTGAGAATGGAGCCATTGCTCCTCTGGAACTTCATTGCGTCCCAGTAACCATGACTAGGGTTCCCAATTAATCCTTCAGAGATGTAGGCCAAGTAGGCATCACGGCCGCCATGGGAGCGGGATGATGAGCTGCGTACGCTATTGAGCGCCAAGTCTTTTGCACGAATCATGGCGTCGATATTTGCATTTTCCAGGTGAAGGTTTAGGTTAAAATCATGTGTGCATGTTTGAATCATGGAGGGAAAGATGATGTCGAACCCGATTGGAGTCTGCTGCCTTGAATCCGTCAGACAGCTTGAATTCCGCTCCACAAACCCAATTGCTACGTACACCAAAACAAATATATCTAAGCGAGTCCTATAATGTATACCCTCACACACTTAAAAAAAAAAAAGTCTTAAACAAACTTGCGCTATTTATATACTAACTAGCAAAAGTCGCTCGCTATCGCTTTGCGTATTAAAAAATAATATTTTAAAAAATAATAATTTTAATGTTGACCCAAAAGTGAAAGTAATCTTATTTCATTCGTAATCATTCTTTTCATATGTTTGTTATTTACAATAGTATATGGTCGATGAACTTGCATAAGGTAGAAGGCTCGTCGAATAGATTATTCATGTTTAAACTTCTTTCATGACGCTTCAATTTGTATGGCTAGTAATTGATCCTGCTGTAACTTTGGCAGAATGAAGCAGCTTCTCTAAATCTTTTCAAGAAGTATTTAAAAAACAACTGTTGAGTGTTTAGCTGAAAAGCTATCAAATTACTTTCTAATACAGAGGTACTGAAAAATGCCTAAAAAAGATTTCTGAGATAAAATATGAATACAAATTCTAATGATACAAAAACTTTAAAATGGATCATGTTAGATTTATTTCATATTAAATAATATTATTTTTTAATTATATTTTTATAATGATATAAATGAAAGGAAATTATGTTTTCTAGAAAAAGAATAATATATGGTAAGTACAATTTTGTATTTTCAAATTGGAGCTTCTGCTTTTAAGTTACGAAAAACTTCAGTTTTTAAAAAAGCAAAACTTTAGAGGTGTTTGGCTTGGCTTCAACTTTTGAAACATAAAACTTCACAAATTCGGGTTTGAGGTAATCGTGGTTCTCCTTTATGAAATTTTTGGACTGTTGCAGGTTTGAGGAGGTTCAACTCGCATTGATCTGGTCAAATTAGGTTGGATACCCATGGATTTGGGTTCAATTGTCTTTCTCAAACAAAAGGAAAAAACGAAATGAAAAAAATACTAAATCTAAAACTCGTTACCGACTCAAAACTCGTCAGCACCAAGTTCAACTTGCTTTGACCTAATTGGACCGAGTTTTGGACAATTTCACACCTGACACAACACGCCAATTACAAAAACAGATAAACTCGCTCCCGTCGAAAACCTCTAAAATCGTGATCAAATCGCTTTGGTCGGGTCGAATTAGGTTGTATACCTATGCGTTTGGACTCAATTGTCATTCTCAACCAAAAGAAAAAGATAAAAAAAAAGTAAAGCGGATAAAACTTGCTCATGACTCAAAACTCTCAACACTGTGTTCAACTCACTCTAACCAGGTCAACCGAGTTTTAACAAGTTCACAATTTACCCAACATGTCAATTACAAAAGCAAATAAAACTCGCTCTCGATACGAAACGCATCAGCAATGGGTCAGAGTTCAATTGTCATTCTCAACGAAAAGGAAAATGAGAAATAAAAAAACATTAAAGCGTACAAAACGCTCTTTCAATCTAAAACTGGTCAACAATATGTTCAATTCGCTTTGAGCAATTTTTTTTAATAAATTAACACTTGGTCCAACCTGCCAACTACAAAAGCGGATAAAGCTCTCTCACAATATAACATTCGTCAAAACCTTAGATTCGGGTTCAACTGTCTTCCTAACCAAAAAAGGAAAAAAAGAGAAATTTTAAATGCTAAAGTCTGTTTCAAGTCGCTTTGACCGGATCGAATTAGGTTGGATACCCATCGATTTGGTTTAAATTGTGATCATGCTCAACAATAAGGAAAAAGTAAAAGAAAAAAACACTAAAGCGAACGAAACTCGGTCCCGATACAAAACTCACCAACATGGAGTAGATATGGTATGGATTTTCGGTAGCGACATTTGGTTCATTTTTGATCATGCTCAACAAAATGGATAGAGAGAAAGAAAAAAACACTAAAGAGGATGAAACCCGGCCCCGATAAAAAACTCGTGGTAGCGCCATTGAAAAATGTCGGTGGGGAACAATTTAGGATCCCACCGACAGTATTTCGAGATGGGCTACAAAATGGTGGGCAAAGGCGATGATTTTTGAAAAAATTCATAGACAAAAACCTAGCGAACAATAACAAAACACAAAGACGATGATTTGTGCAAAAAGAACCATAGACGAAAACCTAGTAAACAATAACTAACTACAAAGGCGATGATAACAAAAATGGGATTATTTATGCAAAAAACCATAGACGAAAACCTAGCGAATAATAACAAAACACAAATGCGATAATTTGTGCAAAAAGAACCATAGACAAAACCTAGTGAGCAACAACTAAACACAAAGGTTGTAGAATGGAGAGTGGGGTAAAAGAAGGATTTGGAACTTCCCCACTTGCATTTGGAGGAGTGCGAGAGCCACTAATGAATAGTAACTTACAACCTAAGCTTTTATATATTAATTAATTAATTATATATTAATAATATGCATACCATCGTCAATGTGTTGGTGAGCAATGCCCCAGCGCTTGAGAGCAAGAACACAAGCTAAAGTGGAGGAAAGAGTGTCCTTCATCAACAGAGGGTCTCCTGCAGCAGCAGGATTGGCCCACGACCCGTCGTTTTGTTGGTTCTCTAATATCCACTTCACACATCCTGGGAAGTAAGGGACTTTCTGCTGCTGTGAATAATAGCTATTAGTAGCAGGAGTTGGAACCATGGCAACCCACGCGGTGTCGTATGCAGAGGCTGCAACTAGTTGAGCCTTTTCGATCAGCCTTTTGATTCTCTCTTTTGGATCCCCTACGCCAACGCTCTGCATGAATGTGATGAGCCGGCAGATTTTGTTGATTATAGAAATTAAATTACTTAACCATGCAAGTACTCCATAACCATATGGAACAATCAAAGGTAATCCTTACCATGCTATAACAATGATAAGTTTGCAATATTTTACATGAGAAAATAGTAATTTTTATCTACGCAACATTCATTTTGATATATTTATAGAGATTTTTTTTTTTTGTTTTTAGTTAAATGTAAATGTTGAGCATTTATGATAGGAGTTGTGTAGGCATGATTTCATGTAAGGTGAGTCTCATTACAAAATTACACATCATAAAATAGATTTTGATAAATTTTGTAATCATCCAAAATATTATCTAATTTGAAAGTTTTGGAAAATAAAAATAAATTGCTCTCCTAAAATATCAGGAATATTAATATATGTGCATCCTGCCAAACATTGATTCAAGATTCTGTTACTTATTTGCTTACAAATGAAGTTTTTGTCAAAGAACTATTTCGTACTAATAATTAGAATTGCTGGGAGTGGTTCAATGATGAATCTTATATAATTTACTAACACGACTCATCAAACGAAAGCCAACTTATATAAGCTTGAACTTGGCTCACAAAAGAATATCACGTGCTTAACAAATGTGGTCGCCATGATTTGAATACAAGATCTATCGAATCATCGAATGCTCTGATACTATGTCAATAACTGTTTTTTTCCCCGGTAATCATGTCAATAACTGTTTAGTAGTCCCAATAACTCGATTTTTTTTTTGAAGAAGTTCAATAATGGATCTATTTACTAACATTCTTCACATACCTCGTTAGAAAAAGAAGTATATATTACTATGAGGAAAGTCATTATGATGAATAAGAAGTTTTATGAGGAGGATGAGTTTGTGGAACAAGACTAACATATGGATTTGCAGAAATGAAGCTCGATGAATTAATCAACTAATAATATTAGTTCATAATTACCTGCTGGGGGAAGAGTGCACCGACGACGGGAGCCGACGAGCCGTCAGGGGAGTTGAGGTGCCTGAGAAATTGGGGGTCTGGGTTGCGAGAACTGAGAGTCATGTTGATTAGGGAGATCGTTTCAGAAAAGATGGGAGGGAGATCAAGCTAGAGATCCAACCGTGAGATGCAGGTTCAATTATATGTCTGATGTATTTATAAGCATTTGCTTCGACCCATAACCTTAATGGGAAATGATTGATCGAGTGTATAATTTTCCTCAATTTTTAATGAGTATTTCTTTTCCTTTTTTGCTTCTAATTCGGGTTTTTTTACACTAAAATCTTATTAAGCATATATGTAACACCCCTTTGGTATATTTTAGAATAAAAACTGTCTTCAACACTGTCCTCGTTCTGGAGGCTCCCTGGCTACCATCTTGAAATTGAAATGGTATCAACATTTCTCTTAGTGACTTAATCAAGGGCGGCCGAATTTTATTTTTATTGTTTTATTTGATGAGTGATGGTGTGAATATCCTAACAAGATAGACCGGCCGGTCACTATTAAATTAAAAATTACATTAAAAATCATAAATCATTCAAGAGAAAGAAACATGGAAAGTCAGAATCTACAAAGACAGTACATAAACGTAAAAGAGCCCACTTGGAAGCTTTCTTATCACTAACCCTATTTGATGATGGACGATCAATCTCGAGCAAATTCATCATAAATCCACAGAGCAAACGACTCGCGAAACTTTCGAATGGGTGATGCACGATGGGAATGAGTGGAACCTTGATCTTATATAAGCCAAAGCTCCTCCATTGTGGAGGTAGACGCGATTCGACGTATTCCTATTCGATCAAACCATATTGAGGACAATCGGATTTGGCATCATGAGAACTCGAGATCGTTTTGGGTGAGCGAGTTATGCCCGCTTTTGTGATTGGTGGGTTGGGTTGACTGAATTTTGTTAATACCCACTCTGCTTTCCATCCGACTCGCACCAGAAAAATAAAACAATGTCGAATTCTAGTATATATATACTCTCTCCAGCTTTTAAAAACACATTCTATTGTGAGATGATATAATAGCGGTGTATATAACTATAATGTGATAAAATCGATAAATTCACTTCTCATAACCTTAACTATCTATTTATAGTCGCAAGTTGCTAAATTCACGATCTGTCGCCCAACACGAATTTTTGGGCTAGTTATTATTGTTATTAGTATTACTACATATTTTTATACATGAGAGAAGTTTTGTGATGTAACACACAAGAATAGTACATATCACAACATATTTATTTTTTATTAATAATTATTATAAATCACAATCCATCTTTTCATTTTTATTTAACTTAAACTCATAGGTTTCCAACTTAAGTCGACCCCTTCAAAGCGAGCTGAACAAGATGTTGGCGAGTTTGGAGATGTGAGCAAGTTTAAGAGCTTTTATAATTGACAGATTTGGTTGTGTGTGAATTTTGTTAAAAACTCGGTCCACTTTTCATCCGATCCGCACCCAAAAAACAAAGAAGTCACATTTTTTTGGAGGGGTGTCCAACCTAATTCGACATGGTTGGAGTGGGTTGAAGCGGGTGTCAACGGATTTTGGATCGAGAGCGAGTTATGCCTGTTTTTGTAATTGGTGGGTTCGATCGAGTGAATTATGTTAAAACTCAGTTCGCTCTCCATCCGACTCGCACGAGAAAAATAAAACAATGTCGAATTTCTAGTATATTTACTCTCTTCGCCTTTTGAAAACACATTTCTATTGGGAGATGATATAATAGAAGGTGTTTAAAACTATTATTATGTTATAAATCGATAATTTCACTTCTCATAACTTTAACTATCCATTTACAATCGCAAGTGACTAAATTCACGATCCAGAGTGTAGTGCGGCTTTCGTGCTAGTTATTATTATTATATTTTATTTATTTAATTAATTTACTTAATTTAATATATTAGAGAGGTTTTTTGTTTGACACTAAGGAATAGTGCCCATCACACACATTTATTTTTTTATTATTAATTAATAATTATTATACATCACAATCCATCTTTTTATTTTTGTTTTTTAACCTAAATATGTGATTTGGCCCAAATTCCATATACAAAATTTTAGATTTTGGGCCTCAAATTTCTCAAATGAAAAACTGCAACAAAACGACCCCTAGAAGAGAGAGTGAGGCCCGTGGGCCATGGTGGGGAGAGAGTGAGAATGATTTTAGAACATAACAATACATAACTGAATGGTTAAAGATCGTACTAAAAATTACTAATCATCGTCCTAACTTAATATGTAATTTATCGAATTGCCCATTTTGAATTTCAAAATCAAACACAAAACAAACAACCTCTCCCCCTTTCATAAATCTTAAAAAAATATAAACCAAAATCCAACAAATTATCTTATGGACGAACCATAAATCGTAGTAAAAGAATAGAAAGTGAGGAATTAAAGAGAGACTGGGTGGTTAATGAGGGCGTCCACAACTTGGACGAGTTTGGTGCTGGCATGAAACAAATCCTCCTTCCTGTAGAACAAGTTGAGCACTCGGACCAATTTCCAGAACGTCCCCGTGATTTCCTTGGGGATTTGATCACCACTATTATTGCAATTCTTTTCGTCGATCAGAGCCGATTCCAGCACTTGTCGTGTAAGATCCTCTGTTAAGCTATCGGCCTTTTCAATGGCCGCTTGCTGATAATAATTGTTGATGGCTTCAACGTCACCACCTTCTCCGATTCCCTTGCTGATCATCATCTCATTCATTCTCAGTACCACTGCGTTCATTTTCCCTTGTTCAGCCTCTCTCTGTAAACCGAACAAATTAATATATGAGATCATAAGACAAAAAAGTTACCCGACCCTAACTTGACCTGATCATACCCAATTTTTACTGGGCCAAAAGATAACCAGACTCTAAACTGATCCCGTAGACAAATTAACCCAACCCGACCTTCAAAGTCGGGCTAGACCGGGCTGAATTAGTGGGTATGTATGTAGGGCCAAACTTGCAGCCCTACGTACTGATAAAGCAATCATGCATGCCTGAGCCTGACTACTCCAATTCTGAGAGCATGTAGTACCTCAAATCCTCTGCAATCGTTCAACAAACGGCTGGAAGTGCTAGTGGCTGCCAACAGCGACTGAAACTTGGGACCCTGAACCAGGTCTTGTGAAAGCTTATGGCCAGCCAGGTAGAGAGAAGGGACTAGGAATGCTCCCACTCCGATTGTAATGGAGGCGTTGCTCATGTACTCTTCAAGCGTAGGGAGGTGTGAACTTCTCGCCCACTCTGCTTCCTTGTGCATTCCTCTCAGCATCGCCACCCACTGTTATGCACACAAACATATACATGCATCGATCAGAGAGGCCTCTGCTTTGTAATATAGGTAAAATATAGTACGTACTGAGAATTATTTACCAGTTCAACGACATGGTCCATGACATTGCGGCCCTGGATAGCAGCTGCTTTCTCGGCATTCTCAATAATGGTGCCGTGAAGTGCCCAGTATAACGTTTCAACTCGCTCTGATGCGAACTCCACTTTTGGCCCATTGGGATCCCATCTGTAGACCAAGTCGAGGAAGTTAATAATGAGTATACTATTCTCCTCGAGTATATATACCAGTTATATATTATCGTATGTATAATTGACTGTTGACATGGTCAGATTTCGTCAAATCACATCTAAATGGTAAAGATCATATAGGTATAATATTATACTGCTGAAATATATTAGTCATTATCATATGTATACATATATATATATGGATCACGTGTTAAACATGGATCGGTTCAGTCAATATAATTATGACATATGTATATACCTCTCAAAGAGATGGAGAAAGTTGAGATGCTCCTCGGGAGTTCCGAACATGTCGTATAAGTCGTCAACAAGAGAGACAAACATGGCGTGTTTTGTGAAGAGCATGCGGGCATCCACTAGTTCAGGATCGGAGAAAGTCGCTGCGGCGCTGAAGTAACAGTACTTGGTCCTCACCTTCGCCAACCTCAGCTCGGCCAACCCTTTCTCTTCAAGCCACCTTGCATCAAAGCCATGGGGTCACATGCATACATAAATACATATATCGACGTCGTACGGAGACATATACCCGTGTATCCGAACTCACATGCATGCACACACTTACAGCTAGAGGTGGCAAATGGATTGGATCCATGGATTGATGGATTGGATTGGTGGATTAATGGATCAAAGAGATTGGTGGATTGGATCAAGTGGATTGGTGGGTTATCCATGAATCCAAATGACATCCTCAACCAAGGACCAATATGTAAAATGTGAATAGTTTAGGTACTAAAAAATCATAATGAAAAATTTTAGGTACCAAAACGTAATTTTCCAATGATATTTTTCGTATAAAAAATTAAATTTTGGGTACCAAAATGTAAAACATAAAATTATAGGTACCAAATCATAATTTGCCATTTGGATATATGGATTGATCCATGAATCCACCAATCCAAATGGATTGGATTTAAATGGATTGGATTATGTGGATATTTTTAATGGATTGATGGATTGAATTGAGAATTGCCACCTCTACTTACATCATTAGATGGTGCAGTTCGTGCTGGTACGACGACTGAAGGTTGGTGAAATCTTCTAGAGCTAGGTTCTGCAAGTCTTCCAACTCACACCCAGAGTTGGAGTAACTAAATCACAACATAATGGTATTGTTAATTGTTATTAGTAAGAAAGATAACAGTGATGATACATGCAACAAAACTGGAAACTTTTCGATTCAGACCTAATAGCGGATTTGAGAACCCTCGTCGTGTTGTCCGTACAGAAGTGCTCAATGTTCCTTTTGTGAGCTGAGTGGTCCAAATCAACCCGGAATGGGCAATTCAGCGCATTATGCACCTGCAACAATTACCATATATGCTTAACAAATGGAGGTCTGCGAGATTCAAACAGAAAAATTCTCGATTATTGAAGGCTAGCTATGACACAATATTAAGAACAAGTCGGCTCCAATAACCCGAGTGGTTGGAAGAAATTCAATAATAGATTTATACCACATACTAATTACACGCACCACTGTAAGGATGGATTTGCGGAGAGGATGACTAGTTCCGTCATCAGATTCGTCGTCATAACCTGCTGCTGCAGTTGTTGATTCTTGTTGTTGGAGCAAGTGAGAAAGGTAGAGTCGTGTCCATTTTTGCTGGTGATCAAGAATAGACTCCCCCGAGTAAATGACTTGGGAGGCTTTGTGCAACTCCAACACTGCCTTGTCGTCTCTTAGATACCCTTCCATCGTCTCATTCCAGAACGAATCTTCTCTGAATGATTCGAACACATCTGTAACAAATTAAAGTCAATTCAATTAAACTAACTAATTAATACGTAATATTTGATTCGTCATATGTATGTACGTGGTCTGCATGGATATTGCATGGTGCCGACCTGCAGAAACATGGTATCCATTGAGTCGCAGTAGTCGGAAGGCCATGGCACAAGTGGTGGGGTCAAGGAATATCTCTTCGTCTTCTCGCTGCCAGCATCTGTGGATCTCCTCCAACGCGCTCTTCATTTCTTCTTCGAAATGACGACGAACTCCCAGGCTCTCAACTGCGTCGATCAGGCTGAGTCGAGCATGAATTCCGGGTGGGTAAATGGCTGCAAAACGAAACAGCATCGTTGTTGGAGATTAGGTCAAGCCACTCGATCTCTCGCACCCACAGAATTAGAGGTGGCAGTGAATTCGATCCATGAATTGAATTAGCAGATCCATTATCAAATGCATTGGTGGATTTATTGATGGGATCATTTGGATTGGTGAATTGATCAATGAATCCAAATGACATCCAAATTTTGGATAAATATGTAAATTTTAAAAAGTGTAGGTACTAAAATGTTACGACAAAAAAATTTAGTTACCAAATTGTAAATTGTAAAAAGGTATTAAACTGTAATTTGCAAACGATCAAATTAGTTGGATATTTAAGTGGATGGATTGAATTTGATTGGTGGATTGTATTGGAAATTGCCTTCAAAACCCTAACTTGGGAATTATGTACGTACCTGCCGTGCTATCCTTAGGGTTGTCGCCGACCAGTGATCGGAGATGGCGAAGGCAGTCACGGTCCTGAAACCGGATGAACCCTGCGGCGGTGGCAGACGGAGAGTTGAGAATGGAGCCATTGCTCCTCTGGAACTTCATTGCGTCCCAGTAACCATGACTAGGGTTCCCAATTAATCCTTCAGAGATGTAGGCCAAGTAGGCATCACGGCCGCCATGGGAGCGGGATGATGATGAGCTGCGGCTATTGAGCGCCAAGTCTCTTGCACGGATCATGGCGTCGATGTTTGCAGATTCCAGGTGGATGTTCAGGTCAAAATCCTGTGTGCATGTTTGAATCATGGAGGGAAAGATGATGTCGAACCCGATTGGAGTGTGCTGCCTTGAATCCGTCAGACAGCTGGAATTCCGCTCCACAAACCCAATTGCTACGTACACCAAAACAAATATATCTAAGCGAGTCCTATAGTGTATCCCCTCACACACTTCACCAAAAAATGTCTTAAACATTTATATACTAATAATATACGTACCGTCGTGAATGTGTTGGTGACCAATGCCCCAGCGCTTGAGAGCAAGAACACAAGCTAAAGTGCAGGAAAGAGTGTCCTTCATCAACAGAGGGTCTCTTGGAGCAGCAGGATTGGCCCACGACCCGTCGTTTTGTTGGTTCTCTAATATCCACTTCACACATCCTGGGAAGTAAGGGACTTGCTGCTGCTGTGAATAATATTTATTAGCAGGAGTTGGAACCATGGCAACCCATGCGGTGTCGTATGCTGAGGCTGAAACTAGTTGAGCCTTTTCGATTAGGCTTTTGATTCTCTCTTTTGGATCCCCTACGCCTATGTTCTGCATATAAGATTTTTTTGTTGATTATAGAGATTAAAAGAAATTGGTCAACCATGCAAGTAGTCCATAACCATATGTAACAAGCTAAGCAAAGGTAATCCTTAACATGCTATTAACAATGATAATTTTGCAATATTTTACATGAGAAAACGATAATTTGATCTACCGAACAACATGCAGTTTAATATATTTTGAGAGTAAAAAACAGCAATTTTGACAATTTTAGTGAACTAATCTAAATGTTGAGCATTTATGAGATGAGTAGTGTAGGCATGATTTCATGTAAGGTGAGTTCCTTTGCAAAGGTATACATCATAAAATAGTTTTTGGTAATTTTTTTAATTAATCAAGCTATAATCTTATTCGTAAATTTTGAAAATAAATTGCTAGTAAAAAAATATCAAGAATATTAATATGTGTGCATCCTAGCTACCAAATATCGATTCATGATTTTGTTACTCATTTACTTTGAAATGGTGTTTTTTTGTCAAGAACCATTTATAGTACTGATAACTCGAATTGTTGGGAGAGGTTTAATAATTAATGGATCTTATATCATTTACTAACACAACTCCTCAAACGAAAGTCCACTTAAATGAGATTGAACTTTGCTCGAATAAGAATATCATGTGTTTAACAAATGGGGTCACCGTGATTTGAACACAAGAACTCTCAATCACCGAATGCTCTGATATCATATAAAAAACTATTTAGCAATTCCAATAACTCGAATTTTTAGAAGAATATCAATAATAGATCTATATAATAAGAAGTTTTACGAGGAGGCCGGATGGGTTTGTGGAACAAGACTAACATATGGATTTGCAGTGATGAAGCTCGTTGAATGAAGTAACTAATGATTAGTTCATAATTACCAGCTGGGGGAACGGTGCACCGACGACGGGAGCCGACGAGCCGCCGGCGGGAGATTTGAGGTGTCTGAGAAGTTGGAGGTCGGGGTTGCGAGAACTGAGAGTCATGTTGATTAGGGAGATCGTTTTCGAAAAAGATGGAGGGAGATCAAGCTAGAGATCCAACCGTGAGATGCAGGTTCTATTATCAGTCTGATGTATTTATAAGCATTTGCTTGGACCCATAACCTTAATGGGAAATGATTGATCGAGTCTATAATTTCCTACAATTTTTAGTGAATATATCTTTTCCTTTCTTTGATTTTAGTTAAGATTTTTGACTTTCTTACAAAAAAAATTATATTAAGCGTATATATTCTACAGACTACAAAATAACAACCCTTTGATATATTTTAGAATAAAAACTGTCTTCACACTGTCTTAGCATGAGTATCTCGTTCTCTTTCGCGGGGTGAAAAGCAATGGCGTTTAATTGTCGAACGACCGGCGGAGCCCGGCTGGCAGCAGGTCGGTAAATATATAATACAACTAAGGGGTCCGTTTATTTCGTGGATTTGGATAACTGATTTGTTACCTAAATCCATTTCATTAAGGATTTAAGAGAAATTCATTATTTGTTTGCATTAAATTCATGGGACACATGAATTTTAAGGGTACAAATTTGTCGACCCCACACGAACTTGTAAATCCCACATATTGATGTGAGATTTGTTACATGTCATAAATCAATGATAAGACTTTACTCATATACCCTCATGAACTTTTAAAATTCCAAGATTGCTCTCATACATTTACCTATTGTACATTATAAATAATCGATTAATTAACAATGAAGAAATAATATCAGTATTCAATTAATGTGCAAACATAAGTTAGATTTTTTTATACAATTTTCTTGTGTTCTAGTTTCCTTTGACCTTTTCATGGAACATGTAATTTTTTTTCCCTGGTTCTAAAAATGTTGTTTTATGTTAGTTTTAAAAAGGAGGACAAGGAACTGGTAACCGATATATGTTACGTTAAAAGTTAAACCAAATTTACCCATTTATTATTATTGTCTTTCTAGAAACATTATGCTTATTAGTACGCATTGTTTTTATTTTGTCTACATATCATGAACGTGGAAACACAAATAGAGAAGGATAGTATGGTAATTTGACTTTAAGTTCTAAATCTCAAACCCTTAAATCCATGATAAAACATCTCAACAAAGTATTGTTACCAATCCATAATGCCTCAAACCCTAGGATTTTTAAATTACAAACCTCTCATTTTTAAATCCATGAAGCAAACGACCCCTAACAGACCGTTTGGTACCAAATGAATATAGAATTCATTTCATTGTAAAATGAATTACCGTGTAGAATTCATTGTCAAATGAAATCCTATGTTTGGTATGTTATATTCAAATAATTGAAGTGTCATGTAGAATTCATTGTCAAATGAATTTCTGTGTTTGGTATGTCATATGTATAAGTAATAATTTAGTTAATAAAAGAGAATAATCACGTCATTCTATTATAATTAGTAAATACTTGTGGAATTCATTTGAAAATTCTATCTCAATTCCTCGAAATTGCTATAACTAGTTCTAATTCCGTAGAATTCAAAATTTAGAATTCAAAATGAATTATTTTTAATATCAAACACAAATATATTTCATTTCAAAATGAATTCCTAAAAACTTATGGAATTCATTTATACCAAACCGTATGTAAGTTATATTCCTTCTCTTTTCTGCTTTTGTTAATTTTTTTAGGGAAATGTGTGGTTATATTAATAATCAGAAACTATTGTTACATCATCCAACCGAATCTCGTCAATCAATATTATAGGTGGTCTAATTACCCGCACAACTAGGCGGAACCAATGTGTCTCACACTTAGTCATAAGATGAGCCACCATATTGGTCGTTATTCTGACACACTAGACCGATATAATGTGTCATGCAGCTATCTCTCGCCGGATACTGCCGCATATGGTACTGAGCTCCATTATGGAAGAGCCATCCACTTGGACTATAGGCACAAGTGATAGGAAATCAATAAGGAGAGAGAGTGTTTTCTAGAGAGAGGAAAAAGCTCTCCCCTCTCTCCTACTTTCCGTTTGATTTTTTTTCTAGCCGTTATGGAACCCCCACCGGGGGCGGAGGGGCATATGCTCATTCCGCCGGAGATTTCGCCACCGATCTCCCCAGCGCAGCCCAGCAAAAAGTCCAAGTCAACATAGAGTGAGAGATTCTCGGGCAAGGGTAGTATGGATTATGCGATTGTCACTGCCGCTCAACCCAACGTGGACTCAGAGATGGATATAGCAGAACAAGCCTTTGAGATGACCAATGTCCAAGCAGAGTCACCACGGAGGGTCTCCTACAAAGATTCTGTTCTGGGAAATTATCCCCCACCAGAGTTATCAGAAGATGAAGAGGAAGGAGACGAGCTGATGCCTGATGAATCGGATGCAGAGGGCGGCGACGACGACCACTTCTGCCCGACAATCCGGATTAAGCAGCGAACTATTTCCAAGATCCAACGAAGATGGAACAAAGCAATTACATTCCGTGGTTTGGGTAAGACTTTCCCTTCGCTTTTGTCCATCGCAGGGTGCATAAGATGTGGGCAAAAACAGGTGGAGTGAGAATTGGAGACATTGAAAACGGCTACTGCCAAGCAATTTTTGATTCTCACTTGGACTATGAGCGTGCTCTGTTTGGGGGTCCTTGGACGATCGAGGACCACTACATTGTTGCTGAGCCCTGGAGACTGGATTTTGATTCAGACTACGACACAATCGACAAAACTCTGGTCTGGGTTCGTCTTCCCAGGTTACCCATGGCCGATTTTGAGGAAGAAATCCTCCATGACATTGGCAGTAAGCTGGGTAAAGTCATCAAGCTGGATTACAACACAACCAACGGATTTAGAGGTAATTATGCAAGAATCTGTGTTGAGATTGATATGAGTAAACGGCTTGTACCTAAGTACAGACTGAAGAGAAGGGTTAGGAGGGTTCAATATGAGGGCCGTCACACAGTCTATTTCGAATGCGGCCACTATGGCCATCTGGAGGAGAACTGCCCGGATTTATGGAGAAGAACAGAGCTATCACCAGAGTAGAGAATTGAAGACCACACCCCGACGAAACCTGAACCAATTATCCAGCCGGAGGTTGTTGAAGATTTTGGACCATGGATGCTGGTTTCAAGATCCCAAAGGAGGAGTACAAACCAGGGAAGCAAGAAGAAGGAAAGTAATAAGGCTACAGAAAATCTAGGAGAGGATAAACAGGGCAACGGATCAAGATTTAGCACACTGATTAATGAGGGTGTCAATTTGGAGGAAGATATGGCAGATGGCCACGAAGCCAATGAGGCTGGAAAAGTTGTCGACCAAAGCAATGCCAAGAACACAGCTGATGAGAAAAGAACGGAGGATTCTAAGAAGAAGGGAAAGAAACCTGCCTCGCCTGGGGTGGTCAACCCAACTCCTAAGAAAAATGAAGATCAAACACCTGGAAAGAAAATGAAGAAAGGAAGTCAGAAAGCCTCACCAGAATGGACCACTTCGAGTTCCATGACCACGGTGGAATCCCCCTTCAATCCACACCTGAAGGCCACTATTCAGGCCTTGGCGATCGGAGGGGAGAAGGGGAGAGCTCTTGGCTCATCCACTAAACCCTCTCTGCCAACATTCCAGTGGCTCCAAAGCTGGGGCGGGACAGGGACAAGGCTGGGGAAAAGAAAACGAACTCCCCTGTTACCAACACCCTCAACAAGACCCCCTCAGGAAGCAAGAAAATTTTGGAAACAACTCTTTCTTCCCTTGAAAATGGGAACGACCACCACAGAATGATAGACTTCACTCAAGATCAAGGAGGGCCAGGGAGCAAGAAGGCTGATCACAAGTTGAGCAAAACAGCTGTTGAGAACGCCCAGAAAGTGGCAACGGTGACGACAATGGTCGTCGATAACCTTTGAATTCAGGACCGGTTGGTCTTGCGGGGAAGTCTCTTCTCAGTCTTTGTGATGATTAAGGTCTTCTCGTGGAATTGCAAGGGTGCCTGCCATCCCAAATTTCATTCTTCCTTTGAATTTCTTAGAGATATGAATAAACCGAATATAGTTTGCATCATTGAACCCAAGATCAGTTGTGATGATGCTATTGATGTGATTAAATCCCTTGGCTACGATACTTGGAGAATTTGCGATGCAGAGGGATTCAGCGGTGGAATCTGGGTCTTGTTTAACGAGGAAAAACTGCAATTGGAAATCCTTGATAAACAGAAACAGTTCATCCACCTCCGCTATACCAAGGGAGGTCTTTTTGAATGCTATCTCACAGCGGTGTATGCCAGCCCCAATGAGTTCGAGAGGGTCAAACTCTGGGACGCAATCAGAGACATTGAGAAAGGAATTGACGGACCTTGGCTTTTGTTTGGAGACTTCAACTCCATTCCAAGCCATCAGAAAAGCAGGGTGGCGCTAGCTTCAATCCAGCAAAAGTCAGGGCTTTCAACAGCTGCATAGAGGATTGCGGATTAATTGATACTGGATTTATAGGGCCAAACTTCACTTGGTTTGCTAGCAAGACTAGAATCAAGGAGCGCCTTGATTGAAGCCTTTGCAACTTGGCCTGGCAGCAAAGATTCCCCGGAATTGTTACCTACCACCTCACCAAAATCAAGTCTGATCACAGAGCCATTCTCACCTACAGCGCTGGCCCTCAGGACAGAAGCAACTTCCTGAGACGGTTCCAGTTTATCGCCGACTGGATGGCTCATGAGGATTTCTTCCCTCTTGCATCTGAAGCCTGGAAGAAGCAAACAGGCTTTCTTCCCTCCCTCCAGGTGTTGACTGAAGAGCTCAAGATATGGAACAAAGAAACCTTTGGCCATATCTTTAAAAGGAAGAAGAAATTGCTGAAAAAGCTTGAAAGCTTGGAATGGAAGATTGAAAGAGCTCCCACTAGTCAATCTCTCAAGTCTGAACAAGAAACGAGAGAGGAGTTAGAGGACACGCTTTGGCAGGAAGAACTCCTTTGGTTCCAGAAATCTAGGGTGAACTGGCTTACCTTTGGAGACAGCAATACACGTTTCTTCCATACAAGCACTCTCACCCGGAGAAAATAAAACAAAATCAAGGGCCTCAAGGATAACCTCAACTAGTGGATCACTGATCCAATCGATGGCCAGGGATTTCTACATCAACTTGTTCACCAAGGAAGGATTAGACTTTAGACCTGAGGTGGCATCTGACTTTCCTTGTTCCAATGAAACTGCTCTTCACCTATTCTGCAGGCTTCCATCGCTCCTGGAAGTGAAAGCCATTATCGCCAACATGAAGGGAATGAAGCTCCAGGAAAAGATGGATACCATGACTTCTTGTATCATCGTTGCTGGGATATTGTGGGTGCAGACCTCCACAATTTTGTGACTTCCTGCTTTGTCAACCCTGACCTTATCAGGAACGTCAATGGTACCCTCCTTTCCCTGATCCGCAAAACTGAAACACCTCACTCAATGAGCCAATTCCGCCCCATAAGCCTCTGTAATGTCAACTACAAGGCTAAATGCCTTGCTGAGAGACTGAAACCCTTGATGGAATCCCTAATCAAGCCAAATCAGGTTAGCTTTGTGCCTAACAGAAACATCAACGAGAATATCCAGATCCTCCAAGAAACTGTGCACTCAATGTCCAGGATGACAGGGGAGAAAGGTGATATGTTTCTCAAGATTGATCTTGCAAAAGCCTATGACCGCCTGGATTGGGATTTCCTGGAAGAAACACTTGTTGTTGTGGGGATCCCTGATGATGGAGTTAAGCTGATCATGACTTGTGTCACTACGACAGAGCTACAAGTGTTATGGAATGGTGGTGAGATTGAAGCTTTCAAGCCAGGCAGAGGCCTCAGACAGGGATGTCCCCTTTCTCCCTACCTTTTTACACTTTGTATTGAACGTCTGGGTCATTGCATTACTACGGAAGTTAATGAGGGGAAATGGAAACCTATTAAACTTTCTAAAGGAGGACCTGTCCTCTCTTACTTGTTTTTTGCTGATGATCTTGTTGTTTTTGTTGAGGCCAACCTTAGACAAGTTGATATTGTCATGAAATGTATAGATAATTTTTGTCTTGCTTCTGGTGAGCTTATTAGCAAGGAGAAGTCGAGAGTCTTCGTTTCCAAGAATGTTAGGAACTTTGATAAATCATGTATATGCAATAGACTTGGAATCCAAAACACTTCTGATCTTGGGAAGTATCTTGGAGTCCCTGTGTTACATGGCAGCATTACAAAAGGAACCTATAAGTATATTTTTGAAAAGATGGACAACAAGCTTAATGCCTGGAAAGCTAGAACTCTTTCACTAGCTGGAAGAGTCACTTTAGCCACTATTGTGCTGAATGCCATTCCCAACTATGCTATGCATTCTTCTGTCCTTCCTACGCCTGTCTGTGATGAGATCGATAAGAAGATTAGGGGGTTTGTTTGGGGCTCAAAAGATGGCAAACGTAGAGTTCATTTACTTGACTGTGATACTATTTGCAAGCCTAAAGATCAAGGGGGGCTGGGTCTTAGAAGTGCTCGATGCTTGAATTTAGCCTACCTGATTAAGCTGACCTGGCAAATCCTTAACAATGAGAACTCTCTTTGGGTGCAGGTGTTCCAACATAAGTACTTCTGGCACAGAAACGGGGAAATGAGCTCCATGAAGAAGAGCAACCACTCTACACTTTGGAGAGGAATCCTTAAGGCTATGCCCCTCATGGACTCTGCCACCTGCACAAGCATCAGGAATGGAAATTCTACATCATTCTGGAAACAACCATGGATCGAGGCAGGGCTGGTGCTGGAAGATTTATTGACCTCGAACCTGGACGATGATGAAAGGGATGCCCCTGTGTCTCACCTTGTTTTGAATTCCGGGGAATGGAACTGGGAATTTTTTATTGGAATGCTCCCAGATGATTAGGGATGGCAACAAAACCCGAACCCACGGGTACCCACCCGACCCAACCCGGTCAACGTGGGTAAAATCCGTGTTGACGGGTTTTGAATCGGGTTTGGGTTTAAACCCATTCACTATTCACCGGGTTGGGTTGGGTTTGGGTTTGGGTTTAGGTAAACCCGACCCATGGGTACCCACCCACACCCATATAATTAATTTTCTCGATATATTTAATATCCTAAACAACTAATCTTATTTATATTTGTGGAGACATGTCTACTTTTTTCTTTATAATTGTGTAGAATGAAGTTGATGTTATCGAGTGGAGAGTAAATAAACTTAATTGAAAGGAAGAAGCTTTCAATTAATCATATTACTTATGGATAATTTGTGATTTGCTTCAATTTTTTTGAGTTTTGTAGATTGGTGTTGAACAATTTGTATAGTTAATTTGTGATTTGTTTGAATTTTCTAGAATGGTGTTTTATATATGGATAATTTGTATTGAGAGATTGATATTTGACTTTAATTTTGATAGGAACTTGTTATTGTAATTTTTTTACAACAAAACTCATGGGTACCCATGAACCCGCGGATACCCAGCGGGTTGGGTTGGGTTTGAGTTTTTCAAACCCAGTGGGTTTTACCCCGGGTTTTTTTCACGGATAAACCCATGGGTTTGGGTTTGGCAAAACCCGACCCATTGCCATCCCTACTGATGATATTTTATCCCTCATTGCAGGTACTGATATACCAAAAGCTAATCTGGGAGAGGACAAGATTATCTGGGGCTTGGTATCTGATGGACGCTTCATACTCAAGGACAGATCAATCCCTTTCAAGAGTTGGCAGATTATGAACATCGAGGATGAGGAGAAAGGGGTCGATTTCAGAATCATCCTCTGGGACATATGGAAACAACGTAATGAAGAAAATTTGGATGGGAAGGTCTTTTGTGAGCAGAGCTTAATCAACAGGATCTTTGCATTTAAAAGTGTTCTGCAGAGACCCCAGCAGAATGCCCTGAAATTAAAGGCAAGGTCACAAAACACGACGGAACGCCAGCAGCTGGCGTGGGTGCCTCCAAGGGAAGGATGGGTCATGATTAACACTGATGGCTTTGTCATCACAACGACGAACAGGGCTGCTGGTGGAGGTCTGATCCGCGATTGCCTAGGAAGATACCATGGAGTGTTTGCTGCGAACTATGGGAACTGCTCCATAACAAGAGCAGAACAAAATGCTGCAGAGTTTGGACTCTCGCTGGCTTGGAGTTTGGGATTCATGAAGGTGCACCTCTGCCTTGACTCAAGTATTGCTATCAACATCATCAAGAACAAGAATGATGCCGCCCACAAACATGGTCTTCTCACGCTCGAGATTAACAGACTTCTGGCTTTGGATTGGGATGTACAGATTTCCCATTTTTTAGGGAACGCAACAACGCTGCTGAATTTTTAGCTCACAAAGGCCACGACCTTCATTTTGGATCCCATCGCTTTGATTTTTCTGATCCGGGGCTTAGCCACTGGCTTTCTTTTGATGTAATGGACATCACCCATGAACGTTTAGTTAATACGAATTAAGACGCCATTGGCGTCTGTCTTCCTACCCAAAAAAAAAGATAGGCAATCTGTCTCAATAATTAGCTCCTGAATATGGGTTTGCTTTATCATACTAATCCCGAACTCAACCGCTGGCGCTTTGGCCATTTCGCGATCCCATGAGTTAGAGATTTTTTAGCAACAAAAAAGATAAACTTAATTATGATTGTAAAATTATATAGACTTTTATAAAATTTAAATGAAAATTATTACGGTATTAATAATTTCTTCGTGTACTTGAAACTATCGTGTACATTAATGGTATGTAAATATACCACAATAATACAAATTTATACCATAATAGTTCATGATTGATACTATGTTAGCATAGTTTTGAAACAACGTAACATGATAACGTAGCACACGACAATAATCGTGTCTTCAAAAAAAAAATATCATTACGTAAACCACACATAATATAATTTTAACGCACAAAAATATTTAAATTCATATTTGAAATAAAGGAAGTATCCTCACCAAAAAAAGAAATAAAGGAAGTATGAATTGATAGATATAAGAGGGGTAATTAAGAAAAAGTAAAAATGAGTGGCATGTGTCAAACTGTAATAAGATGATTGGAAAAATAAGAATACTAATAAAATAAAAATGAAACTATTATGATATGTTGAAGCAAAAAAGAAGGAGAAGTTAAACGAAAAAAATAGGAAGTTTTGAAAAGGAAGAAACTTCCACTTCTGTAATTTAATTATTTGAATAAAATTTTCCAATTTTAATTAACTACATCAATTACCACTATACCCCTACCTAAAATCATGGAGAGAGCAGGAAATTCAAATCGGAGAAAAGTACACAAAAGTGTACTATATATTATCTGGATGGCTAAACGTCGCCCTAGTTTTACTATTATCGCCCTAACTTAAAGCGTGATATTACATAATTGTCCTTTATTAATCCATAAAAATTCAATAGAACAAAGAGAGCCCTAGAATTTCCAATCCTCCACCAACATCGCTTACCGATCGACTCTCCCAAAACCCTTCGCCGGTTTTCCTCGAAATCTCAAAGATGCAGTTACCTTGACTCTGCCAATTCGTTCATAGCCACCACTCCACCACATAGAGTCTCATCGCCGTTCGAAATAAGTTCCAATTCTACCCAATACCCACACATAGACCGCCAAACGAAGGGGAACAACGGAAAACAAGAGCTTTTTGGAGAGCATCGCAATCAATATTCCCTGTGACTTTTAGAGACAAAAACAGGGACTACTACCTTCGAAAATTTCTTATAATTTAATGCAATTATCCTTTGGCTGGAACATTATGGTCGCTTTAATCTATCCGGCGGCTATTGTCACGGTGCTAATGCTGAGGTGGGACCGGTGACGGGTACTAAGGAAGGTATCTGCTCGGGGCACTTAGGCGGGTACCCCTCCGATCTCGTACTGTGATGGAGTGCGGCGACAGCGCGTCTCCGGGCCGGGGAAAAATCGTATGAGGTTACGGAAGGCTTGGAAATTACAAGGGCGATGAAATGAATCGAGGGAAAGGATAAAAACGTACTTTTCATTTTTTTAAGTTAGGGCGATCAGTAAAATTAGGGCGACAATTAGCAACTCTCAATTATTATTGGGGGATTGAGAAATAGAAAAAAATAAAAAATGAATCGGAAGCAACCAAAACGCACGGCATGAGATGGGAAACGTATGAATTTATTATTTTTCATTTGCTCCATCTCGGTATCTTCCCCTACCCATTATAGTAATTCATTTTTAACCTTCTATATCTTCATCTCTAGAGTCAAACTTATGATGCAGGTGAAATTATATCTAGGAGGTCAGTTTTAATGTCGCTAATGGTCAAATTTGGTAACCAATTAGGCGGTTTATGACCGGTTTTTAATACCGGTCAATTACCGGTTAGCCGATAAACTTTGAACCACTTACTAATCTGGATCGGAGTCCGGTCCGATTTTGACAATACTGGTTAACCCCATAATAGGACACGTCTAACGAGTTAGTTTAATCGTAATTGTAGGTAGACATGGCTTATGAGTTTGACAGTACATATGATTACACAGATTACTTCCCTAATGATTTTCGATATTCCACTTGCGACGATGTTGTGACAGGAGCAAAAAACATCGCTATGTTTCATGGTTTCTTTTTGATGAAAGGGCTGGAGGAAGCCACGTTAGACACGTCATAAGTGAATACTCGATATGTGTTATGTGTATTGTGACAGATGTAGTAGAAAGAAGAACTCATACAAGCCAGATTAACAAAGGAGAAACGTGCCAATACTAGTTTGAAAGGGACTAATTGCATGTTTAATGACATACTATCTTTTGGGGATAGTTTGAATGTTTTAACTTTTTGGTGATATATGATATGGATATTTGAAATCATTTATGGTTAGTGATAAATTCATTGTTAAATCAGTGTATTATATCTGTCTTTTATGTTATGACGCATGAACGGTTCTTTCAACAGTTAATCAACGATTTTATAACGGTTAAACACTGAATCATCAATCACTAACTTTTTCGATTCAGTATCTAATCCGATTATGAAAACATAACAACATATATAGGTTATTTCCATTAATATTATGTTATTTTTTTTTTAATGCATGTCTTTTGTTTTTTTGTTCCATTAATATTATGTGTTTTTTTTTTTTTGAATGCATGTCTTTCGGTTTTTTGTTCCATTAATATTATGTTAATTTTTTTTGAATGCATGTCTTTCGGTTTTTTGTTCCATTAATATGATGTTAATTTTTTTTGAATGCGTGTCTTTCGGTTTTTTGTTCCATTAATATTATGTTAATTTTTTTTTAAATGCATGTCTTTCGGTTTTTTGTTCCATTAATATTATGTTAATTTTTTGTTAATGCATGTCTTTTGTTTTGTTGTTTTTGAACAATTCCCAAGTCCTAACACACTCTATTGCCGTCCCTGGGCCCTAGTACCATTTCGGACGAGCATGTTAGCCGTCTGTAGCAGCGAATTGACATTTTTGGATTGAAGTTTGAGTAGTACTGGCCGTCTCTCATGCAAGTCCCAAGTGCCAAATCCTCCCCCAGACAAATTAATATTTTTAAAAGTAATAATTTTAATGTCGACTTAGTGAAAATAATTTTATTTCATTTTTAATCATTCTTTTCATAAGTTTGTATTTGTTATTTACAATAGCATATGGTCGATGAACTTGCATAAGGTAGAAAGGTTATCGAATAGATTATTTATGTTTAAACTTCTTTTATGACGCTATTGTTGCAATTTGTATACCAAGTAGTTGATCATGATGTAACTTTTGTAGAATAAAAATGCTTTTCTGGATCTTTTTAAGAAGTATTTTAAAAAAAATGTTGAGCGTTTAGCTGAAAAATTATCACAATTACTTTCTTATATAAGAGGTAATGTAAAATGACTAAAAATAAGTTCTAACATAAAATATGAATACAAATTCTAAAAATAAAAAAGTATTTAAAATGAATCACGTAAGATTTATTTCATATTAAATAATACTATTTTCAAATTTATTTTTATTATGATATAAATGAAAGAAAATTATGTTTTCTAGAAAAAAAAAATATATGGTAAGTACAATTTTGTATTTTCAAATCGGAGCTTCTGCTTTTAAGTTACGGAAAAACTTTAGCTTTTTAAGAAGGGAAATTTTATAGGTGTTTGGCTTGGCTTCAACTTTTGAAACATAAAACTTCTAAAATTCGGCCAAACATAGTCATACTCTTTTGGCTTTTTTGTTGGGTTTGAGGTAATCGTGGTTCTCTTTTATGAAAAATTTGGACTCATTGCAGGTTTGAGGAGGTTCAACTCGCATTGATCGGGTCAAATTAGGTTGGATACCCATTGATTTGGGTTCAATTGTCTTTCTCAAACAAAAGGAAAAAGCAAAATGAAAAACACTAAAGCTAAAACTCGCTACTGGCTCAAAACTCGTCAACACCAGGTTTAACTCGTTTTGGGAAAATTCACACCTGACACAACCGCCAATTACAAAAACAATTAAAACTCGCTTCTGTCGAAAAACTGTAAAACGGGTTCAAGTCGCTTTGGTCGGGTCGAATTAGGTTGTATACCCATGCGTTTGGACTCAATTGTCATTCTCAATCAAAAGGAAAAAGATAAAAAAAATACTATAACGGATAAAACACGCTCATGACCCCAAACTCGCAACACTACCCAACTTGTCAATTACAAAAGTGGATAAAACTCACTCTCGATATGAAACCTGTCAACAATGGGTTAGAGTTCAATTGACATTCTCAACGAAAAGGAAAATGAGAAATAAAAAAAATTAAAGCGTACAAAATCCGCTTTCAATCTATAACTGGTCAACAAAGTGTTCAACTAGTTTTAAACAATTTTTAACAAATTAATACTTGGTCCAACCAGTCAACTACAAAAGTGGATAAAGCTCGCTCACAATACAATACTCGTCACTGCGGGTTCAATTGTCTTCCCAACCGAAAGAAGAAAAAAAGAGAAATTTATAAATGCTAAAGTCGATTTTAAGTCGCTTTGTCCAAACCAAATTAGGTTGGATACCCATGGATTTGGGTTCAATTGTGATCACGCTAAACAAAAACGGAAAAGTGAAATAAAAAAACCACTAAAGCGAATGAAACTCTGTACCGATACAAAACTCGCCAAGATTGAGTAGATATGGTACGAATTTTCGGTAATGACATTGGGAAACGTTGGAGGGGGCAACTTAGGATTCCGGTGACAGTGTTTTGAGAAGTTTGTGAATTGGTGAGCGGTATTGAGAATTGGACAGAGCATATCTAGTATGGATCTTTGGTTGCGGTCACGACAAACAGTGGAAGAGGACAACTCAGGGTTCCACTGACAGTGTTTCGAGTTGGGATG